ATCCTTGTGCTTATGGTCCTCGCTGGTTTGTGTTGCAGGCCTCCAGTCAGTCCCTGTTCGAACCAGATCTGGACCAGGACGGGACCCAGACCTCGAGCCCAGAGTCTGGGGAGAGCGTGGAGCCGGGCTTCAGCAACATGGAGGAAGTGGACTGAGACCATGTGGATCAGAGACTCAAACCAGGACTAAAAGACTCAAACCAGGACTAAAGCAGGGTCTGAGTTTAAAGCTTGTGTGAACGTTTGTGGATGTGTTTGGAATCGAGGACAAAACTGGTGCTAAAACAAAAACCATAAAAACACAACGTCTTTGGAGTCGAGATGGAAAACGTTCAGAAGAAGATACAAGCAACCACCATGGATACAACCGTGGACTGGGACTGGATCTGGGCTGGGTTAGGACCAGACTGGGACTGGATCGGACTGGGTTAGGACCAGACTGGGACTGGATCGGACTGGGTTAGGACCAGACTGGGACTGGATCTGGACTCGGATCAGACTGGTGTTTACACAGTGGGTGAATAATTGGACCAGACTGGACTGGACTTGGACTTAACACTTTGGATGAAACCAGAACTGGACCAGGATTTAAACGGGTCTAAACTAGGACTCTAATGTCAGATCATGTTTCAGGATCAAACGTCACTTTGAATTGATTTTTTCACTATGAATTGTTGGGTTTTAAGCGGCACATGCTCACTCTGTCCCTGAGGTCCTGGTCCTGATCCCTTACTCGGTGAAGACCAGTCCTGACCATAGCACTATGATCCAGTCTCAGTCCAAGTTGGACCTCAGAACTGTCTCTGCTCCGGTGCTAATGTTTGATTTATGCAGGTTTCCTTTTGTGCGTCTTTGGTGCTGCTCTTGCTGACTCCTCTTGACTCCTCCCCTTCTTGCTGACTCCGCCCCCTCTTGGCTCCGCCCCCTCCTGCTGCATGGCGCATGTTTCTGTCTGGCTCCGCCCCTTATGTGTTAACGAGCTCGTTACTGCTGCAGGAAACGGTTCATTTGAATAAAACTCTTCGACAAACACACTGAGTCTTTCCTCTGGGGGGCGCTGTTCCTCACTGCAGAGTTAATGGGTCAGCCCATTTGACCTTTCTGTGTGCAGTTTGAATGTTCTCCCTGTGTCTGCGTAGGTATCCTCCAGGTGCTCCAGTTTCCCCTACCACTAAACTATATACAATAGGTCTGGCAGCGCCCCCTGGAGGTGACTTGCTCCATCTGAGATGCAAAGCGCTTTGTGACTCTGAAAGGTGCTATATAAATAAAGTTCCTATTTACTCAGTCTTTATGTTGGAGTGACGTCACAGGAAATTATTAAACGTCTTTTGTCATTTACTCCTGCACATATAATAAATATTCCCGCTTGTCGGATGTAATTTCACACCGTGACCGCAGACGCGCTGTTTCCTCTTGTTCTGTGCTTACGTAGAAGAAACAAGGCGGAAGTAAACAAACCGGTCCGGCCGGCGAGTATGGAGCTAGAGCGCGCGAATTCAGTCGCGGCGGCGGCCATCTTGTGTTGGTGTCCTGCGTTACTGACCAAGAGGAGGAGGCAGAGGACGGGGTCAGAGGTCATAGACCGCACGGAGCAGAGTATTGTGATAGTCATATATTAGACTTTTATTTTAGTCCCACCGAGATTTCTGAATGTATGTTTCAGGGGAGTCCTGACCCCGTGTAGAGAAAGCCGGAGCACCTGGAGGAAACCCACACTGGCACAGGGAGAACATGCAAACTCTACAAAGAAAGACCCCGGAGGAGTTCAGGCGCCCAGCAGCAGAAACACATCCATCCAAACAAACGCATACTTGTATAAGTCTCTAATATAGATCTGTTGTACAGTCTGACAGCTGAAGGAATGAGGGGTCTCTTTCCACTCAAGTGCTAACCACTCCGCCACTCTGGGCCGTTAACTGTTCTGAAATAATTCAGCCAAAACAAATCCTTCCAGACGTGTCCTGTGTTCCCAAAGAGACGGCCCCTCTAGTCCTGAATGCACCGCTCGTACCGCAGCCGGTGTGACAGTCTCATCCTCAACGTTACTTTGAATTGAGTCGGTTTCCTCTGGACCTGGACCAGGACCGGGACCCGGTCTCATGGAGCAGAGCAGCGGACAGACCTCCTCAGAGCAGCCGGGAGAGGAGAGCGTCTCTCGGGGACTGAGCTCCACAGGTCAGGTCCAGATCATGGTTCAGTCTGTGTTAGTTTATGGTTCAGTTCATGGTCTGAGTCCGGACTGCGGCCTCTCCACAGACCTGGCACCTGTTCCCGCTTGTTTCCATGGTGATGGTGTCTCTCTCGATGGTGTCTAACTCTGGACTCTCTCTCTCTTTGGTCTTTCTCTCTCTGGTCTCTCTCTTTTTTGGTTTCTCTCTCTGGTCTCACTCTGGTCTCACTCTGGTCTCTCTCTGGTCTCACTCTGGTCTCACTCTGGTCTCACTCTGGTCTCACTCTGGTCTCACTCTCTGGTCTCTCTCTGGTCTCACTCTGGTCTCACTCTGGTCTCTCTCTGGTCTCACTCTGGTCTCACTCTGGTCTCACTCTGGTCTCTCTCTGGTCTCACTCTGGTCTCACTCTGGTCTCTCTCTGGTCTCTCTCTGGTCTCACTCTGGTCTCACTCTGGTCTCTCTCTGGTCTCACTCTGGTCTCACTCTGGTCTCTCTCTGGTCTCTCTCTGGTCTCACTCTGGTCTCACTCTGGTCTCTCTCTGGTCTCTCTCTGGTCTCACTCTGGTCTCACTCTGGTCTCTCTCTGGTCTCTCTCTGGTCTCACTCTGGTCTCACTCTGGTCTCACTCTGGTCTCTCTGGACACGAGGCTTACTGTTTTTATCCCTGTGCTCCTCAGAGTTGGTTCATGTGGCACTAACATGTCATAGATGAACGTTAGTGCGAGGCCATGAAGAGACTTGTAAAAGCCAGAGACCTGAGACCAGGACTAATGTGAGAGGACTTCAGGACAGAGACCTGAGACCAGGCCCAGGACCACCCAGTCCTCTAGTCCTCTGGCCAAAATGACGTGCGCTGACATGCTTGCAATACCACCCCGGGCCGATGGGGGTGGACCATAGACTGTATATTAATAAGAATTAGCCAATGCTAACATATAGCATCTTCTTACCTCCAAAACGTCTTTACAGGATGGTCCAAAAGTGGCTCTTGGCCCAAAGCTCCGTTCCACATGTGTGTCAATGCTGAGGGGGGTGGTCTGGACCACTCTAGTTTAGTCGCTGTGGACTTTTGAAGTCACTCGTTCAAATGAGTGGAGTCTGAGGACCACCCAGTCCTCTAGTCTCTGTGAGGACCACCCAGTCCTCTGGTCTCTGTGAGGACCACCCAGTCCTCTAGTCTCTGTGAGGACTACCCAGTCCTCTAGTCTCTGTGAGGACTACCCAGTCCTCTAGTCTCTGTGAGGACCACCCAGTCCTCTGGTCTCTGTGAGGACCACCCAGTCCTCTAGTCTCTGTGAGGACTACCCAGTCCTCTAGTCTCTGTGAGGACCACCCAGTCCTCTGGTCTCTGTGAGGACCACCCAGTCCTCTTGTCTCTGTGAGGACCACCTAGTCCTCTGGTCTCTGTGAGGACCACCCAGTCCTCTGGTCTCTGTGAGGACCACCCAGTCCTCTGGTCTCTGTGAGGACCACCCAGTCCTCTGGTCTCTGTGAAGACCACCCAGTCCTCTAGTCTCTGTGAGGACCACCCAGTCCTCTAGTCTCTGTGAGGACCACCCAGTCCTCTAGTCTCTGTGAGGACCACCCAGTCCTATGGTCTCTGTGAGGACCACCCGGTTCTCTAGTCTCTGTGAGGACCACCCAGTCCTCTAGTCTCTGTGAGGACCACCCAGTCCTATGGTCTCTGTGAGGACCACCCAGTCCTCTAGTCTCTGTGAGGACCACCCAGTCCTATGGTCTCTGTGAGGACCACCCAGTCCTCTGGTCTCTGTGAGGACCACCCAGTCCTCTGGTCTCTGTACGAGGACAAGTACGAGTCAGGTCCGTGGAGAGGCGCTCATGAGTCCAGACAAACACATACGGATCAGTTCCAGCTGTTGTGCTCACCTCTCTGACGTGTGCAGCCCCCCTCCCCCTCTCTTCCTCTCTCCCCCTCTCCCCCTCCCTCCCCCTCTCCCTCCCCCTCTCTCTCCCCCTCACCCTCCCTCCCCGCCTGAAGCTCGTCCTCCACATCGACCTGAACAACACGGTGCTGGTGTCAGACGCAGTGACGTCACAGGGGACCGTGGCGGCGCTGGAGGGATACCTGCCGGGGGTCACCTGGGGCCACACCCACAAAGGTACAGGGGGCGGAGTCACCTGGGGCTTGGGGGGAGGTGCTCATGGTGAAGTTTGCCTTCTCTATGGCTCCTCTTAATTTCCATGATTTCTCTCTGGTCTCTCTCTGGTCTCTGTCTCTGGTCTCTCTCTGGTCTCTGTCTCTGGTCTCTGTCTCTGGTCTCTCTCTGGTCTCTCTCTCTGGTCTCTCTCTGGTCTCTCTCTCTGGTCTCTCTCTGGTCTCTCTTTGGTCTCTCTCCCTGGTCTCTCTCTGGTCTCTCTTTGGTCTCTCTCCCTGGTCTCTCTCTGGTCTCTCTCTCTAGTTTCTCTCTCTAGTCTCTCTCTGGTCTCTCTCTCTAGTCTCTCTCTAGTCTCTCTGGTCTCTTTGGAAATCCAGATATTACCATATAAGGACAGACCAATCAGAGGCCTTAGTAACCCACTTGGTAACAACTCAGCTTCTGTTACAGCACGACTGCTGTCAGAACAAATTCCCAAATAAGGAACTGGCTCCATCTTATTTTCAAAATAGCTCTGAAGTCACACTGCGGTGATGTCACACTGCGGTGATGTCACACTGTGGTGATGTCACACTGCGGTGATGTCACACTGTGGTGATGTCACACTGCGGTGATGTCACACTGTGGTGATGTCACACTGCGGTGATGTCACACTGCGGTGATGTCACACTGCGGTGATGTCACACTCAGGCTCCACCTTCAGCTCTGTGCAGTTCCAGGACCCAAAGAACTGGATGATCTGCATTTTGAACATTTTTAAAAATAACTAAGAACTCTCAAGTCTCTCTCTCTGATATCTTTCTGGTCTCTCTTTGGTCTCTCGCTAGTCTCTCTCTCTCTGGTCTCTCTCTTATCTCTTTCTGGTATCTCTCTGGTATATTTCTGATCTCTCCCTGTTCTCTCTCTGGTCTCTCTCTGTTCTCTCCCTGTTCTCTCTCTGGTCTCTCTCTGGTCTCTCTCTGGTCTCTCTCTGGTCTCTCTCTGGTCTCTCTCTCTTCCTCCTGGTTTCTCTCTCTCTGGTCTCTCTCTGTTCTCTCCCTGTTCTCTCTCTGGTCTGTCTCTGGTCTCTCCCTGGTCTCTCCCTGGTCTCTCTCTTTCTGGTCTCTCTCTGGTCTCCCTCTCTCTGGTCTCCCTCTCTCTGGTCTCTCTGTTCTCTCTCTGGTCTCTCTCTCTCTCTGGTCTCTCTCTGGTCTCTCCCTGTTCTCTCTCTCTCTGGTCTCTCTCTCTGGTCTCTCTCTCTGGTCTCTCTCTCTCTGGTCTCTCGCTGGTCTCTCCCTGTTCTCTCTCTCTCTGGTCTCTCTCTCTCTGGTCTCTCTCTGGTCTCTCTCTGGTCTCTCCCTGTTCTCTCTCTCTCTGGTCTCTTTCTGGTCTCTCTCTCTCATCCTGGTCTTCCCTCCCTCAGGTCGCTGGCAGTGGCTGAGTGAGAGCCCCTCTCTGCTGCCCCCTTGTGGACGTGCCGTCAGTTATTATTCTCGATATGGCCGCTGTCCGGGATTCACCTCCTCGTCACCGGGGAAACGCTTCAGAGCTGTGTTAGAGGAGCATCTGCAACTACTGCTCTGGCCACCAGGGGCACCGGTGAGACCAGAGGGACCAGAGAGGGACCAGAGCGAGAGACGAGAGAGACCAGAGCGAGAGACCAGAGCGAGAGACCAGAGCGAGAGACCAGAGCGAGAGACCAGAGCGAGAGACCAGAGCGAGAGACGAGAGAGACCAGAGAGAGACCAGAGAGAGACCAGAGAGACCAGAGAGACCAGAGAGAGAGACCAGAGCGAGAGACCAGAGGGACCAGAGAGGGACCAGAGAGAGACCAGAGAGGGAGACCAGAGGGAGAGACCAGAGGGAGAGACCAGAGGGAGAGACCAGAGGGAGAGACCAGAGGGAGAGACCAGAGGGGGACCAGAGGGGGACCAGAGGGAGAGACCAGAGGAAGAGACCAGAGGAAGAGACCAGAGGGAGAGACCAGAGGGAGAGACCAGAGAGAGAGACCAGAGAGAGAGACCAGAGAGAGAGACCAGAGAGAGAGACCAGAGAGAGAGACCAGAGAGAGAGACCAGAGAGAGAGACCAGAGAGAGAGACCAGAGAGAGAGACCAGAGGGAGAGACCAGAGGGAGAGACCAGAGGGAGAGACCAGAGGGACCAGAGAGAGACCAGAGAGAGACCAGAGGGAGAGACCAGAGGGAGAGACCAGAGGGAGAGACCAGAGGGAGAGACCAGAGGGACCAGAGAGGGACCAGAGGGAGAGACCAGAGGGAGAGACTAGAGGGAGAGACTAGAGGGAGAGACTAGAGGGAGAGACCAGAGCGAGAGACCAGAGCGAGAGACCAGAGCGAGAGACCAGAGCGAGAGACCAGAGCGAGAGACCAGAGAGAGAGAGACCAGAGGGAGAGACCAGAGGGAGAGACCAGAGAGGGACCAGAGAGGGACCAGAGAGGGACCAGAGAGGGACCAGAGAGGGACCAGAGAGGGACCAGAGACGGAGACCAGAGGGAGAGACCAGAGGGAGAGACCAGAGGGAGAGACTAGAGGGAGAGACTAGAGGGAGAGACTAGAGGGAGAGACCAGAGAGAGAGACCAGAGAGAGAGACCAGAGAGAGAGACCAGAGAGAGAGACCAGAGAGAGAGACCAGAGAGAGAGACCAGAGAGAGAGACCAGAGGGAGAGACCAGAGGGACCAGAGAGGGAGACCAGAGGGAGAGACCAGAGGGAGAGACCAGAGGGAGAGACCAGAGGGAGAGACCAGAGGGACCAGAGAGGGACCAGAGAGGGACCAGAGGTAGAGACCAGAGGGAGAGACCAGAGGGAGAGACCAGAGGGAGAGACTAGAGGGAGAGACCAGAGCGAGAGACCAGAGATAGAGACCAGAGAGGGACCAGAGAGGGAGACCAGAGGGAGAGACTAGAGGGAGAGACAGGAACAGGGAGAGTCCAGTTCCTAACCCCCCCCCCCCCCTCCCCCGCAGGTGAACCCCCTCCTCAGTGTGATGGGGGAGGATGGGCGGGTCTACCACAGGCTCCTCCCCTCGTTCTTCCAGCTGCTCCTCGACCTTTGGACCTCAGGATCAGACTTCGCCGTCGTGTTCCGGACCTTTGGGACCGACCTTAGTCCGGTCCTGAGGGCGGTGGAGCAGGGGCTGACACACGGGCACCCTCTGTTCTCCAACCTCACCCAGCTCAAGGTTCGAACACAACAACACATTCAGCTGACGGACCAGGACCAGGACCAGGACCAGGACCAAGGCTAGGACCAAGACTAGGACCTGATACAGACCAGGACCAAGACTAGGACCAGAGGCAGACCAGGACCAGAGACAGACCAGAACAAGGACCAGAGACAGACCAGAACAAGGACCAGAGACAGACCAGAACAAGGACCAGAGACAGACCAGAACCAGGACCAGAGACAGACCAGAACCAGGACCAGAGACAGACCAGAACCAGGACCAGAGACAGACCAGAACTAGGACCAGAGACAGACCAGAACCAGGACCAGAGACAGACCAGGACCAAGACCAGAGACAGACTAGGACCAGGACCAGAGACAGACCAGAACCAGGACCAGAGACAGACCAGGACCAAGACCAGAGACAGACTAGGACCAGGACCCGGACCAGAACCAGAGACAGACCCAGCCTCTGACCTCTTGTGCCTCAGCTGCAGGTGGACCTCAGGCCGGGTCAGATCCGTTGCTCTCAGGGGGGAGTGGAGCTGACTCAGGCCCAGAACAGAGTGTCGTCTGTGGGGAGAGCGGACGGAGAGAGAGGCCTCTACCGGTTCTTCAGCGACATCACCGGAGTCACGGGATTCAGGGACCACTACGACTGGTGACACAGACACACACACACAGACACACACACATACACCCACACACACATACACCCACACACACATACACGTTTTTGTTACCTGGTGGGTCCCTTTGACAGGGCCGTTCAGAATGGGACCCATAGACATAATCTTTTTTACTGGGACTACTTTAAGTAATACAAAACAGTCAATAGAAAACTAACAACTCTTTTAAAGGAATTTTATTTTAGATTTTGTTTTCGAATTGCAGTGATTCTATTTTTGACATAGAATTTAATGCCACTCCATGTCCGATGTCTAAGGTCATCTGGTGAGGCATTAATGCAGGCCAGGCCAGGCCAGGCCAGGCAGTGAGACTTCCCAGGGACCTTTCCAGTCTGTATGAAAGGTGTCATGGTCTTCTCCACAGCCTTCACCTCAGATGCAGACCATGGCTTTCTCTAACGTTCTAGGGAGAGAAATAAAAATATATTAGCAATATACACTCCCAGGGTTAGGACCAAGCAGCCTGGCTGTAATCCCCCACCTGGTACACTTACCAGAAGGGGCACTGCCACTACCATGGGGTGCATCTGGATGAATGGTTGAAGGTTCTCTGCTTGAAGTTTCTTTTAGCCCGTCCGTTTGTGAGAGGATCTCTACTGCTCTCCCTGTCGCACAGAAAATAAAAATACAAGTGGCCTTTAGGGGAAAAAAATCATACATATTTTAATAATATCAAGAATTACCTTCAGGCTCAATTTGTATCTGGTCGAGGCTCTTTCCTTCGAATTCCGTCACTCTTCCCTGCTCCATGGCCATCAACACTTTGCTGATTTTGGCCAGCTCCAGTGTCCCCTCTGGTAGTCTGTAATATTGCCTGTGGATGCGAATGTCATGGCCGAGGAAGTTGGCAAGTATGTCCATCTCATTCTCTTTCATATTGAGAACTGTAGACATAGTAGCTATGTGCTTTCTAAGTTTGGTTGAGGATAGCATCTCTGGATGCACCGCACCACATTCTTTGGCTACCTGCCGTAGGGAGTCTGATCCCCTGATGTGGGTGTCTGCGCCCAGGCGGGAAAAGAAGTATGGGTTATGGTCAGAGATGGAACAGGCCCTTCTGTTCTCCACCAGCACCTCCATCGAAGCAATCATTTCAGGAGTCAAAAGAACCGGCACTTTCCGACTTCTTTTCCCTTTAATTTCAATGCGTTGAAAATGCTGACACAGCTTTTTCTCAAGTTGGGACAGTCCCAGAGCAATGTCAGAATGGATCCCAGTCTTACTTCTTAAGGTAAACGCTGTCAGTGGCATCTTTGAAACCTCACCTTCCCTTCTTCGATTGAAAATAATGACCTCACAAAGAGTCAAAACTGCCAGTTTAGACCAATGCTTAGACGTTGGCTCACTTATTAGGGTTTGCACATATTCAGGTCGACATACCTCAATATGTGCATGCATGGCTCTAACGTCCTCAGTCAGAGGGAGCAGGTCCGGAGTGTTCCACTTGGCTTGCCGGAGGGTCTGTAGGGCAGCAGAAGAAACACAGACGTCCCACCTCTTCTCAAAAAGCAGCCGGCTTCGTTGGAGGTTTTTAATAAATAGTTCATCAACACAATGCTCCATTTTTGAGTCACATTCAAGAATATCTGCTAGCTTTCTGAGGCTATGGCCGAGTTTGAGGGCCAAGGATGGAGTCTTGTATTGATTTGTTTCCTCATCATATCCAGCCACAGACCTGACTGCATCAATCACATGGTTAAAGTTGGAAGGAATAAAAATCCTTAATTGTTTTCAGTTTCCCTGCGGTTTTTGCTTCGTTAATTAACCTACCGACTTCTCTCATTTTCTGCCTAATGTAATCATGCTTAGTCTTATCATGCCCGTGTTTTAAGTACAGGTGCTCTCCGAGTCTCAGAATCCCCTTTTCTGCTTTGACAACACCCGTGACCTCATCCTGATGCATTGCCGAAATTAAAGACCACAGCTTTTTGCTGATGCCCTCCGGTACAGGCTGGGCTAGGGAGCAGAGGGACTGGACCCTACTTCTACCTGGTTTAGCCTGGGCATCTTTCTGTGAAAGCCGGCACCTGGCCACATGCCTCCACAGCGACTTTCGCTTAAGCAATGCCCCACAGTCTATACAGTGCAAAAACTCACTGGATTTAACTGGGCAATTTGGCTGTTTAGCTGGGACTAAAGTTCCAATGCCGGCCTTTAAAACCTCAAAATTGTGCTCACGGTTTCCACTATTCCTGATCAAATCAAACTGAAGTTTACGTGCTTTAGATTTCACAGGTAGAGCCAATGCTCTGGTTACGTCACTTTCATTTCCATGTTTTCTAGTCAAATGACGGGACATTTTGTGGCAGGACATTGAACAGTAGAGGCAGAAGTGTCTCTTGCTGTAAACTCTGCCCCCATTTTTCTTCTTTTGCAGCTGCATGATAACAATCTTATTTGCCTTTGGTTCGTCACTTTCCGAGTCTTGAAGAAAAGTGTTTTTGATTTTTCTTTTTCCATACTTTTTTACAGGTTTCTTCTTGACAGTTAAATCGTCAGAATCTGAGTCGACTTCATCAATTAGGGACTCTTGACTCAGCTGCACAAACAACAAATAATTTGTAATCATTGAAGAAGATGACAAAGTCTGGGATCGCGTCTTTCATTCAGACAGAAGACATGTTTATTGTCAATGGTAGAGACAGCACGATCAAAGCACACAATCACAGATACAAGAGAATGCAAGTGTATTATACAGAGCGGAGGCATGGAGACCTCCAATCAGCAGCTGCCACGGTGTGCTTGTAGCTTGGCCTTCAGATAGACACAACAAGGGAAAAGTACTGGCTTCTGCACATTGATAGAATGATGGGTTTAACTTTAACAAAAGTTGCTTAAAAGTGTTATGAAATCTCACATCATTCTATATAACAATTTGAAGTCATGACTTGTAGTCAGCACTTACCAGTGGTTTGTAAGCGTGCGCTTCAGTGTGCTCCTCCATGATTGGCTCCAGCCTCTGTTGTGCTGCTCCATGATTGGCTCCAGCCTCTGTTGTGCTGCTCCATGATTGGCTCCAGCCTCTGTTGTGCTGCTCCATGATTGGCTCCAGCCTGCTGGACTGAAATTGCCCCAGTGTGCCTGTGCACGTGTGTGAGACCCGGTGTGAGACCCACACACGCGTGTTTGGGGCAATGCATTATGGGAGATCATCCACTGCACAGAACCGGGAGGACCAGACGATGCCCAAATACAGATTCAGATTCATTTATTTGCCATTTGCAGTAAAACCACATTGGAAAAACTGTGCAAGACTACCCCAGAGTGTACAGGCGAGTTTCCCATAGATCTTTGAGAGTTCCAGGCGACTTCCGCTAATCTTTCAGCCCCCATGCCGTCACAAAGCGCCACTGAGCACAACCGTTCATTTGAATAGGGCGCCATCTTGGATCGCCGGGGTTTGCGTTAGCAGCACTTGTTTACGGTCACGTTAGCAGCAGCACTTTACAAAGTTGTGGATTCACCGACAACAGATCAGAGAATCAAACCGTTTAAACACAGGAAATGCAGATGCTGTAGACCCAGGACTGAGGCTGTAGACCCAGGACTGAGGCTGTAGACCCAGGACTGAGGCTGTAGACCCAGGACTGAGGCTGTAGACCCAGGACTGAAATTGCCCCAGTGTGCCCCTCCTTGATATCCCGCAACCCACCACCAGGGTTCCGACACATAACACACTTTTTTCAGGAAAGTAAACCTCCAGGGGTCCTTTCCATATTTTTACAGAGACTGCATAAGGACCGTTAGAAAAGCATTACCCATTGATTATTAAGCTTGGACCAGTGGGGTCCGGTGTTCGGGCCCCACCACGTAAAACCAGTCCCCATGACGTGAGCGGAATCTCAGGTTATGGACCCCACCAGGAGTTGAAAACAAGTGCAAAGAGACACACACGTACACACACACAGAGAGACACATAGACACACACACAGAGACAGAGACACACACACAGTAGGCCTGTCGCGATATTCAATAAATCAATAATAGCATGATAATTAAAATAGCTCGATAATTCTTCTGGCCGCGATAAATGCCATTTGCAGCTTGTTTGTTTTCCTCGTCTCTCTCGGGTCAGAGCAAAGTGGTCACGGGGACATTAGCGGTCTAGTGTGCAGACTGAGAATACTTCACATAGAGACACACAATCTCTCCTGATTGGCTGTGTGTTTCAGGGCTCTCTACTGATTGGCTGTGTGTTTCAGGGCTTTCTCCTGATTGGCTGTGTGTTTCAGAGCTCTCTTCTGATTGGCTGTGTGTTTCAGAGCTCTCTTCTGATTGGCTGTGTTTCAGAGCTCTCTTCTGATTGGCTGTGTGTTTCAGAGCTCTCTCCTGATTGGCTGTGTGTTTCAGAGCTCTCTCCTGATTGGCTGTGTGTTTCAGGGTTCTCTCCTGATTGGCTGTGTGTTTCAGCGCTCTCTTCTGATTGGCTGTGTGTTTCAGCGCTCTCTCCTGATTGGCTGTGTGTTTCAGAGCTCTCTCCTGATTGGCTGTGTGTTTCAGAGCTCTCTTCTGATTGGCTGTGTGTTTCAGCGCTCTCTCCTGATTGGCTGTGCTTCAGCGCTCTCTCCTGATTGGCTGTGCTTCAGCGCTCTCTCCTGATTGGCTGTGTGTTTCAGCGCTCTCTCCTGATTGGCTGTGTGTTCCAGGTGGGCGGGGCATGCCTTCTCGCTCCTCGGGGGGAAACCGTTGTGGATCGATCCGTTCGACTCAAATGTTCAACACATTTTCATCGATGACAACATCAGAGCAAACGACCGGGACACCATCGTACACCCGCGGGTATGTGGGAGCAGCGACTCCACCCCGAGCTCACACACACACACCATCGTACACCCGCGGGTATGTGGGAGCAGCGACTCCACCCCGAGCTCACACACACACCATCGTACACCCGCGGGTATGTGGGAGCAGCGACTCCACCCCGAGCTCACACACACACCATCGTACACCCGCGGGTATGTGGGAGCAGCGACTCCACCCCGAGCTCACACACACACCATCGTACACCCGCGGGTATGTGGGAGCAGCGACTCCACCCCGAGCTCACACACACACCATCGTACACCCGCGGGTATGTGGGAGCAGCGACTCCACCCCGAGCTCACACACACACCATCGTACACCCGCGGGTATGTGGGAGCAGCGACTCCACCCCGAGCTCACACACACACCATCGTACACCCGCGGGTATGTGGGAGCAGCGGCTCCACCCCGAGCTCACACACACACACACCATCGTACACCCGCGGGTATGTGGGAGCAGCGGCTCCACCCCGAGCTCACACACACACACCATCGTACACCCACGGGTATGTGGGAGCAGCGGCTCCACCCCGAGCTCACACACACACCATCGTACACCCACGGGTATGTGGGAGCAGCGGCTCCACCCCGAGCTCGCACACACTATCGTACACCCACGGGTATGAGGGAGCAGCGACTCCACACCGAGCTCTCACTTCTCTCTCTCTCTCAGATTTTCTCAGAGCCTGGGGGCTCGGTCCCGCGCTCGGCCTCGGCCTCTGAGCTCCTGGACCTGTGCCTGGTCCAGACCGACCTCCTGAAGGCCATCTCTGACCCACGATACTTCAGCCTCGCCGTGCAGACCTGTGTGGACAACTACCACCGCAACCAGGAGGCAGGAGGAGGCCACAGCTGAGGAGGAGGCAGGAGGAGGCCACAGCTGAGGAGGAGGCAGGAGGAGGCCACAGCTGAGGAGGAGGCAGGAGGAGGCCACAGCTGAGGAGGAGGCAGGGGGAGGCCACAGCTGAGGAGGAGGCAGGAGGAGGCCACAGCTGAGGAGGAGGCAGGAGGAGGCCACAGCTGAGGAGGAGGCAGGAGGCCACAGCTGAAGAGGAGGCAGGAGGAGGCCACAGCTGAGGAGGAGGCCACACGGACCTCCTGAGGATGCAAACGTCTTCCTCCCAACCCGCACGGCCATCAGATGTTACGGTCCTCCTCCTCAGATGGTCCTCCGCAGATGGTCCTCCTCCTCAGACGGTCCTCCTCCTCAGACGGTCCTCCTCCTCAGACGGTCCTCCTGCTCAGACGGTCCTCCTCCTGAGGTGACGGTCCTCCTCCTCAGACGGTCCTCCTGCTCAGACGGTCCTTCTCCTCAGATTATCCTCCTCCTCAGACGGTCCTCCTCAGATGGTCCTCCTCCTCAGGTGTCCTCCTCCTCAGACAGACCTACTCAGATGACTGATGTGCAGCTGTAAAACACTGGTTTCTATTTAAGACAAAACAAAGTTTAATTTAAACCAAAGAGTTTTTATAATAAAACGTTTTTAGAAGTTTGTGTCTGTTCGTTACTGTTTAAAGCTCAGGTTCGTGACTTTCAGATTTCACTCTAATAAAACCCTGGGCTCTAAAACACTTTCTATCACTAGTTTCTTATTCCTGGTCTCTCCTCTTCCTCCTCCTCCAATTCGTCACACATTTAATGGTGTTTTGAATTGAATCTTTAAGTGAGACATCCTTGTCTGGGTCTGGGTCCAGGTCTGGGTCCAGGTTCAGGTCCAGGTCTGGCTCCTCTTCCACATTGAAAAGATAGATCCTTTGTTTTGAGTGCTCGTCTCCATGGTAACGGCCTCATCAGGAGAGCGTTAAACCTGTGGATTTTCTTTTATGAATGGAATCCACGCGACTCTGCTCAGACCTCTCACGCGGGGAGGAAGATGATGATGAAGACTGTCATTATAGTGTTTCACTGTGATCACGTGATCACCGCCTGTGGCTGAGAGAGAGAGAGGCTGCTGTCAGTCCGCACCGCGCGGCAGCAGCGGCAGACACACGATAGGAGCTGAATTACGCGTGTGGAGCTGAGAGACACCAGCCCGGGGACCAGAGACGTCAGCCCGGTGACCAGAGACGGGGGAGAGACGCAGGAGCAGCGGTGGGTCCACGTCAGTCCGCTTCATATCGCGCGGCAGGAGCGGCAGGAGCGGCAGCACGCGTGCAGATTTCGTTCATTGACGCGCGGTGGATTGTCCGCAGTTGCGACACGAGGTAAGGCGCGAAACTGCAACTCTGGTGCACAATTCTGCGCATGCGTGAGAATGACTCTGTAGCCACGTGACTTTAGCGCAAACATTGTCAGACACGTGGTCAGGCGATACGGTGCCCCCGAACATGGCTAATGCTACTGTTGGAGCACAGCGCCCCCTGCTGCTCTGAGTTTGATACATGTGTGTATGAGGAGTGGACAGACACAATGTGACTATAGGGTTCAGCTCTGTGTCTGAGACCCTCCGAAGTCTGTGTCCTTGACCGCTGTGCTGCTCTCTGATTGGTTGCCAAACTTCGAGCAAAAAATATTTGCGGAGTGCGTTGAGTCGCAAACACCCATCTGCCGCTGAACGAATGAGCTGCACCTCGTCGACATTGACTTAAAGTAAAATCACAGTCACGTTAGCAGCACTTGTTTACGGTCACGTTAGCAGCACTTGTTTACAGACACGTTAGCAGATGGATCTATTATAATAACTGGATAGGGTATGACTAGCTTGTAGCTGAATAACTCACGTGCTCAGGGGATCCTCGCGGTACTGCAGACTGAACCAGACTAAATTCACGTGGGCTACCCAGAAATGTTCCCCATAGAACTCAATGTAAATTAAAACAGTACGACCTCAGCTGAAAGAGAACCTGACAGGGAACCTACAGCTTTCATAAAGATCGGATTTTGTGGGGATTTTTGTATCCCTTGTCATCCTGAACTTTTTTTCTTCTTAAATCCTTCGGTTTTGTTTAAATCCACACTTTAGTGCCACAAACTCTGCTCCTCTGGCTCTCGCTCTATCTCCCGCTCTGATGAACTGCTCTGATTGGTCAGAGCGCGGCCAAGCCCCTCTGTGCACGTGCGTGAGACCCGGTGTGAGACCCACACACGCGTGTTTGGGGCAATGCATTATGGGAGATCATCCACTGCACAGAACCGGGAGGACCAGACGATGCCCAAATACAGATTCAGATTCATTTATTTGCCATTTGCAGTAAAACCACATTGGAAAAACTGTGCAAGACTACCCCAGAGTGTACAGGCGAGTTTCCCATAGATCTTTGAGAGTTCCAGGCGACTTCCGCTAATCTTTCAGCCCCCATGCCGTCACAAAGCGCCACTGAGCACAACCGTTCATTTGAATAGGGCGCCATCTTGGATCGCCGGGGCTTGCGTTAGCAGCACTTGTTTACGGTCACGTTAGCAGCAGCACTTTACAAAGTTGTGGATTCACCGACAACAGATCAGAGAATCAAACCGTTTAAACACAGGAAATGCAGATGCTGTAGACCCAGGACTGAGGCTGTAGACCCAGGACTGAGGCTGTAGACCCAGGACTGAGGCTGTAGACCCAGGACTGAGGCTGTAGACCCAGGACTGAGGCTGTAGACCCAGGACTGAGGCTGTAGACCCAGGACTGAGGCTGTAGACCCAGGACTGAGGCTGTAGACCCAGGACTGAGGCTGTAGATCCAGGACTGAGGCTGTAGACCCAGGACTGAGGCTGTAGACCCAGGACTGAGGCTGTAGACCCAGGACTGAGGCTGTAGATCCAGGACTGAGGCTGTAGACCCAGGACTGAGGCTGTAGACCCAGCTCTCAGGTCGTCCTGTGACCCACATTCTGCAGTGTCTGTCTTTCCTCACACTTCACTATGTTTGAATAAAGGATTTCAACAAAACGTTGCAGCAGAGACACACACACATGCACAGACACACACACACACACACACACACACACACACACACACACACACACACACACACACACACACATACACATTTTCTCTGCAGCCAAAATAAACAGCTCTTTAAATAACACTGTTTTGGGAAATGAGGAGCTTGGGGAGTGAGAGTGTGTGTGTGTGTGTGTGTGTGTGTGTGTGTGTGTGTGTGTGTGTGTGTGTGTGTGTGTGTGTGTGTGTGTGTGTGTGTGTGTGTGTGCACGCAGTGGGGTGGACTGGAAATGTTCTGGAGGAATGTGTAACTGCTTGTGTTACAGTTTGTGATGTTGTGTTTATTTTGCGATTTTCTCTAAATCCAGATATGAGCCAAATAAGGTCTGACCAATCAGAGGCCTTCTCCCTCAGAGTTTGGCTCCCGATTGGCTCTTGGTGACCCGGCCGTTGCTACCAACAAAATATCCATCTCTTTGGTCCGTTGAAGTTAGCGCTAATCGTCATGTTTCAGTATTTTAGCTTTCAACCTCTGACCTCACCAAGATGGCCGCCGCTCGTTAGTTTTATCGATCGGTACAGATAAAAGGTAATTAGACCAGAGAGGGACCAGAGAGGGACCAGAGAGGGACCAGAGAGGGAGACCAGAGAGAGACCAGAGAGGGACCAGAGAGAGACCAGAGAGAGACCCGCTTCTTTTGCCTTAATCCTGTATTTCTAAAGTTTCAGATTGAACGTCCTGAATTTTCTCTGTTTCAGCTGAGACTGAAGAAGAAGTGCTCTCCTCGCGGGTGGATTATACTTGGACAACATCCTCCAGAAGAGTTTCCAGTTTATTTGGATTTGAGATTTAGAGTTTTTTCCTTGGTGGCTGATTTACATATTTACATTTATTCACTTTTCAACTGGACTCTCCTTGTTTTCCTGATTCAAACCCTTTCACATTGGTTCAGCTCTGGACTCGCTCTGGGTCTGGACTTGGTCTGGGTCTGGACTTGGTTTTGGATTACAAAAAGAGACATGATGGAGATTTCCTTGCGGCTTGGGCACCGTGTGTTTGTGCCTTAACTTGAGACGCCTTTAGCCTCTGATCTCTCTCTGGTCTCTTCCCCTGGTCTCCTTCTGTGCTCTCCCTCTGGTCTCCTTCTGGTCTCCCTCTGGTCTCGTTCTGGTCGTCCCGCTGGTCTCCGCCCTGATGCCCGTGCGGGTCATGTCCTCGCTCCGCTGGCAGCCCCTCCCCCCCCTGAGTGAGCGCAGGGTGTACTGCAGTGCCTGCTCTGACCAGCGGGGGGCGTCTCTGCTGTATGTGCTGGGAGGCTGTGGCGAAGGGGGCGGAGCTTCTAACGCTGCGATGCGATTGGACGTGAGCGCGCAGCGGTGGAACGCCTTGCCTCCAATGCACGCGGCGAGGGCCGGAGCCGTTGCTGTGGCGATGGAGGCGGGGCAGGTGCTGGTGGTAGGCGGAGTCGACCACGCCCAAACACCACTCGCCACGGTGGAGACGTATCGCCCCGACGAAGGCAAGTGGCAGGTCACGGCTGCCCTGGAGCAGGCTGCAATGGGAGTGACGGCCATCGAGAACGGTGAGTGGTTTAAAAGATATGGAACAGACTCTCTCCCTGGTCTTATTCTGGTCTCTCTCTCTCTCTGGTCTCTCTGGTCTCTCTCTGGTCTCTCTCTCTCTCTGGTCTCTCTGGTCTCTCTCTGGTCTCTCTCTGGTCTCTCTCTGGTCTCTCTCTGGTCTCTCTCTGGTCTCTCTCTCTGGTCTCTCTGGTCTCTCTTTGGTCTCTCTCTGGTCTCTCTCTGGTCTCTTTCTGGTCTCTCTCTCTGGTCTCTCTGGTCTCTCTCTGGTCTCTCTCTGGTCTCTCTGGTCTCTCTCTCTGGTCTCTCTCTCTGGTCTCTCTCCGGTCTCTCTCTCTGGTCTCTCTCTGGTCTCTCTCTGGTCTCTCTGGTCTCTCTCTCTGGCCGCTCTCTGGTCTCTCTCTGGTCTCTCTCTCTGGTCTCTCTCTGGTCTCTCTCTGCTCTCTCTCTGGTCTCTCTCTCTGGTCTCTCTCTGGTCTCTCTCTCTGGTCTCTCTCTGGTCTCTCTCTGGTCTCTCTCTGGTCTCTCTCTCTGGTCTCTCTCTGGTCTCTCTCTCTGGTCTCTCTCTCTGGTCTCTCTCTGGTCTCTCTCTGGTCTCTATGACTGCCTTATGTAACAAATTTTAATCCTGTGTGATTGTCTCATAATCCACACATGTGTAATCTGGATTAGAGACATCACACTGCAGAGGTCTTGGTCCTGGTCCATGTTTCAGTTTTCGCCAGTTTATTATGTGACAGAATATGTGTGTGTTTATACGTGTGTGTGTGCATGCATGTGTGTGTGTGCATGCATGTGTGTGTGTCTTTATGTGTGTGTGTGTGTGTCTGTGTGTGTGTGCATGCATGTGTGTGTCTGTGTGTGTGTGTGTGTGTGTGTGTGTGTGCATGTGTGTCTGTGTGTGTGTGTCTTTGTGTTATGAACCTTGTAATCACAGTTTTCCAGTTTTCTTCTGGAGCTACTGTTGCCTGGAAACACATGTCTGGGTTTGTTTGTACTTTATCTCAGGAGGGAGAGCAAGGAGAGAGGAGAGAGAGAGGAGAGAGGAAAGAGAGAGAGAGGGGAGAGAGGAGAGAGCTGCAAATCTGACTCAGAGAGAAAGTGGTTCACATTGTATTTTGCCGCGGGAAGAAACACTACTGTCACTGTGTATCAGACACAAGAGACTGAGGCTGTAGACCCAGGACTGAGGCTGTAGACCCAGGACTGAGGCTGTAGACCCAGGACTGAGGCTGTAGACCCAGGACTGAGGCTGTAGACCCAGGACTGAGTAGACCCAGGACTGAGTAGACCCAGGACTGAGTAGACCCAGGACTGAGTAGACCCAGGACTGAGTAGACCCAGGACTGAGTAGACCCAGGTGTTATTTTTAGCAGATCTAGTGACGTGTGTTTAGTCGTGCACCTGCTGCTCTGTGATTCATTCTGATGTTTCTGCTGCTTCTGGGTCTCTTTGATGTGGAGAAAAAAAATATCTGAACTCGGGCTGTCAAAATGATCACGTTAACGTTAATTACATGTTTTAGCTCTGTTCACCTGGGCCTGGTTTGTTCTTTGCTGAATAACTCATGTGCTCAGGGGATTCTCGCGGTACTGCAGACTGAACCAGACTAAATTCACGTGGGCTACCCAGAATTTTTCCCCATAGGACTCAATGCATATTAAAACAGCTCAACCTCAGCTGACAGAGAACCTACAGCTTTAATAAAGATAGTATTTTGTGGGGATTTTTGTATCCCTTGTCATCCTGAACTTTTTTTCTTCTTAAATCCTTCGGTTTTGTTTAAATCCACACTTTACTGCCACAAACTCTGCTCGTCTGGCTCTCGCTCTAACTCCCGCTCTGATGAACTGCTCTGATTGGTCAGAGCGCGGCCGAGCCCCTCGGAGGACCAGGCGATGCCCAAATACAGGCGAGTTTCCCATAGATCTTTGAGAGTTCCAGGCGACTTCCGCTAATCTTTCAGCCCCCATGCCGTCACAAAGCGCCACTGAGCACAACCGTTCATTTGAATAGGGCGCCATCTTGGATCGCCGGGGCTTGGTGTCTCAGGAGACAAAACCAAGATGGCGGACCTAAAGTCCATGAATTAAAAAAAAGTTTAAATACGAACAAATTAAGACACAGATGTCACTTTTAATGCAATTAGAGGCGAGATGTTGATGGTTCCATGTTGATGGTTCCATGGGGATGGTTCCATGTTGATGGTTCCATGTTGATGGTTCCATGGTGATGGTTCCATGTTGATGGTTCCATGGTGATGGTTCTATGGTGATGGTTCCATGTTGATGGTTCCATGTTGATGGTTCCATGGTGATGGTTCCATGGTGATGGTTCCATGTTAATGGTTCCATGTTGATGGTTCCATGTTGATGGTTCCATGGTGATGGTTCCATTTTGATGGTTCCATGTTGATGGTTCCATGTTGATGGTTCCATGGTGATGGTTCCATGGTGATGGTTCCATGTTGATGGTTCCATGTTGATGGTTCCATGGTGATGGTTCCATGTTAATGGTTCCATGTTGATGGTTCCAAGTTGATGGTTCCATGGTGATGGTTCCATGTTGATGGTTCCATGTTGATGGTTCCATGTTGATGGTTCCATGGTGATGGTTCCATGGTGATGGTTCCATGTTGATGGTTCCATGTTGATGGTTATATGTGTGTTTAAGAGTCAAATGTTTGTGTAAAGTGTGGTTTAAGTGTTCCTGTCACAACACTAGCAGCAGGGTTGCCAGGTTGGGTGGTTTCCCGCATGTTGTTCCAAACGACTTGTAGGTAATAAATAAACAGGTCAATTACATTATAACAGACAGGTGGTTTATCCAATCACATATGATTATTATTTTTTACAAGGCCCCGCCTTCTGAAAGGGTTAGGGTTAGACAGCTGTGTGAAGCTCAGCGAACTACAAGGGTCTGGAGAGAGTCAGGCTAAGTCAAACTCCCTCTCTCCCTATGGTCCAATACCATGTGTTCTCTCCCTATGGACCAATACCATGTGGTCTATCTCTATGGACCAATACCATGTGGTCTATCTCTATGGACCAATACCATGTGTTCTCTCTGTGTTTGACCTCTTTTAGTTCTGCGCCACATGGTACTTTACCAGTTAGATTAGCTCCATGCGGTGAGTTCTGGCGCCCGGATCACAGACTTTCTGATTGGTGAGGGGCTGGAAAAGTAATTTAGAAATTCAAATATCTCTGATCTACTGTTATTAGTTAAAGAAGTATTGGAAAAGAGAAGTTTATTATTATGACAGATTATGGCCCTTTAATGATGACAGATTAGGGCCCTTTAATGATGACAGATTAGGGTCCTTTAATGATGACAGATTAGGGCCCTTTAATGAGGACAGATTAGGGCCCTTTAATGATGACAGATTAGGGCCCTTTAATGATGATAGATTAGGGCCCTTTAATGATGATAGATTAGGGCCCTTTAATGATGACAGATTAGGGCCCTTTTCGGATGACAGATTAGCGCCCTTTAACAATGACAGATTAGGGCCCTTTAACGATGACAGATTAGTGCCCTTTAACAATGACAGATTATGGGCCTTTAATGATGACAGATTAGGGCCCTTTAATGATGACAGATTAGGGCCCTTTTCGGATGACAGATTAGCGCCCTTTAACAATGACAGATTAGGGCCCTTTAACGATGACAGATTAGTGCCCTTTAACAATGACAGATTATGGGCCTTTAATGATGACAGATTAGGGCCCTTTAATGATGACAGATGAGGGCCCTTTAATGATGACAGATTAGGGCCCTTTAATGAGGACAGATTAGGGCCCTTTAATGATGACAGATTAGGGCCCTTTAATGATGACAGATGAGGGCCCTTTAATGATGACAGATGATTATTTTCATGATTATGAAAATAGTAGATTGACACTGAAGGCATCAAACTTGTGAAGTAACTCATGTGAATTATGTTCGTAGTAAAAAAGTATGAACCAAGTGAAAATATGTATTTTATTCTGGTTCTTCAAAGTAGCTCCTTTTGCTCTGATACTGCTTCACTCTTGGCATTCTCTGGATGAGCTTCAAGAGGACCTGGAATGGTCTCCAACAGTCTGGAAGGAGTTCCCATGATGCTTAGCACTTGTTGGCCCCTTCACTCTGTGGTCCAGCCCCAAAACCACCTGGACCGGGTTCAGGTCCAAAACCATCTGGACCGGGTTCAGGTCCAAAACCATCTGGACTGGGTTCAGGTCCAAAACCATCTGGACTGGGTTCAGGTCCGGTCTCTCTCCTTATTGGTCAAACAGCCCTTACACAGCCTGGTGCGGGTCTACAGCAACAGTCATGAAAAGAACTCAGTGAAGGAGAGAGGGTGTCCACACTTTAGCTCTGTACTGTATTTTTTTTTATTGCACACTTCCCCCACATTAGAATGAGTCTGGTGTGTGTGTGAATGATTGGTGGTGGTGGGAGTCTGTGGCTACTAACGGCTTATTAACCAAGTGCGAGGTCTGTATGGGGAAATATCAGACCGCGGCCTTAATGTACAGACCGAGCCGTGGCGAGGTCTGTGCAAAAATGCCAAGGTCTGATATTTCTCTGCACAGACCGAGCAAGCGAGGTTAATAAATGTTTTATTATATGACTCTCGTCTGTGTCTTTACCAATGCTTTTGAGATATTTGTGAAGTATGTTCATGTCCGACTTGGTTTTGTGTGATACGGGCTGCGGACAGATTGTCATGGTAACGGTCCGAGGAAAGATATCAAATGTGATACGCGCTGTTCGGACCAATTGTCATGGTAACGGTCCGAGATGGGAAAATTTCAGACCGGTAATCAGCCAATCAGAGCGCGTGTACGGTCCAAGTCATATAATAAATTAGTTTATCACCTCTGTGTTCTGAGTGAAAGAATAATGACGAGAAGAGACTTTGAGCGTCCAGAAAGTGCTTTATTAAACTAATGCATTATTATTCATCTGTATTTGAAGTTTACAGTCTGTGGTGTAAAGTTTACAGTCTGTGGTATAAAGTTTACAGTCTGTAGTATAAAGTTTACAGTCTGTGGTATAAAGTTTACAGTCTGTGGTATAAAGTTTACAGTCTGTGGTATAAAGTTTACAGTCTGTGGTGTAACGTTTACAGTCTGTGATATAAAGTTTACAGTCTGTAAAGTTTACAGTCTGTGATATAAAGTTTACAGTCTGTGGTATAAAGTTTACAGTCTGTAAAGTTTACAGTCTGTGATATAAAGTTTACAGTCTGTGATATAAAGTTTACAGTCTGTGGTATAAAGTTTACAGTCTGTGGTATAAAGTTTACAGTCTGTGGTGTAAAGTTTACAGTCTGTGATATAAAGTTTACAGTCTGTAAAGTTTACAGTCTGTGATATAAAGTTTACAGTCTGTAGTATAAAGTTTACAGTCTGTGATATAAAGTTTACAGTCTGTAGTATAAAGTTTACAGTCTGTGGTGTAAAGTTTACAGTCTGTGATATAAAGTTTACAGTCTGTGGTGTAAAGTTTACAGTCTGTGATATAAAGTTTACAGTCTGTGGTATAAAGTTTACAGTCTGTGGTGTAAAGTTTACAGTCTGTGATATAAAGTTTACAGTCTGTGGTATAAAGTTTACAGTCTGTGGTATAAAGTTTACAGTCTGTAAAGTTTACAGTCTGTGATATAAAGTTTATAGTCTGTAGTATAAAGTTTACAGTCTGTGATATAAAGTTTACAGTCTGTGATATAAAGTTTACAGTCTGTGATATAAAGTTTACAGTCTGTGATATAAAGTTTACAGTCTGTGATATAAAGTTTACAGTCTGTGGTATAAAGTTTACAGTCTGTGGTGTAAAGTTTACAGTCTGTGGTGTAAAGTTTACAGTCTGGTATAAAGTTTACAGTCTGTGATATAAAGTTTACAGTCTGTGGTATAAAGTTTACAGTCTGTAAAGTTTACAGTCTGTAGTATAAAGTTTACAGGCTGTGATATAAAGTTTACAGTCTGTGATATAAAGTTTACAGTCTGTAAAGTTTACAGTCTGTAGTATAAAGTTTACAGGCTGTGATATAAAGTTTACAGTCTGTGATATAAAGTTTACAGTCTGTAAAGTTTACAGTCTGTAGTATAAAGTTTACAGTCTGTAGTATAAAGTTTACAGTCTTTGGTATAAAGTTTACAGTCTGTGATATAAAGTCTGTAAAAAGACAGGCCTGTGTCTACGTTAGAATAATTTCAGATAATAATAATAATACATATTATTTAAAAGTGCCTTTCTAGACACCCAAGGACACTGTACAGGACATAATGAATCGATACCATCAGAAAAGGGACGACAGCTGGACATTAGCATCTGTGCTATAACCTGCTGCAATGCATCTCTCCTTTGTGTTCAGGTTTGATTGGACTGTCCCTGTACCATACCGTACCATACCATACCATACAGCACTATACCATACCATAACATACCGTACCATACCATACCATACAGCACCATACCGTAACATACCGTACCATACCATACCATTCAGCACCATACCATACCATACCATAACATACCATACCGAACCATACCGACTGAGATTTCAGAATTTTGCTCTTTGTGGAGTCCTGTTCCCAGATCCCTGTGAGT